GTTTGTTACTTGGGAGAAGAGACCAACACCCACCTGGCTACAACCTCCTTCCAGGTAGTTGTAGAGAGCAATAAGGTCTCCCCTCAGCCTCCTTTTCTCCAGGCTAAACAACCCCAGTTCCCTCAGCCGCTCCTCATAAGACCTGTGCTCTAGACCCTCACAAGCTTTGTTGCCCTTCTCTGGACACACTCCAGCACCTCAATGTCCTTCTTGTAGTGAGGGGCCCCAAAATTGAACACAGCACTCAAGGTGTGGCCTCACCAGCGCCAAGTACCAAGGGATGATCACTTCCCTAGTCCAGCTGGCCACACTATTTCTGATACTTGGGAACATCTCTCCCATTTCACCCCCCCATAAGGGAGTCTCCTCCGTGATTTGCAATCTTGTTCCACCAGCACAGCAGCTCACCCTGCAGGGAGCACCCCAGCCACAAGCTCCCCACGTGTCTGGCACAGAGCTGGGGGATGTCAGTGATTGGAGCTGGCTCAGCCAGTACCCCTGTAGGGTCCCCCAGCCCAGCACGGCCCCCACTCACCCACACAGGCCTGCGAATGGCTCCATGTGACTGCTGCTTTGACCCCTGGGTCTTCTGTATCCAGTGGACAAGCACCAACCTGTCTCCATTGGCCACCTCTACACTTGGTCACAGTGCTGCGTCTCTGCCGGGTGCTGTGGGACACCCCCCTCCCGCCCCCGGCCTGGGTGGCCCCTGGGACCCCCCAGGACCAACTGCAACACTTTGCACCCTTCAACTTTCAGGGGAGAGCAGTGGCCCCAGCCCCCGGCCCAGTGCTGCTGCCATGCTTTCCAAGGTACCAGGGCACGGAGAGGCAGCTTGCACAGCTTGGCCTCTCTGACACAGCCACTGCAGTGGGGATGGCTCCAGGCAGCAACATTCCTCCAGGGAAGCAACATCTTCAGCCACTGTGCTGCCCTGCACATCCAAGCTGTTGGGGACACAGCAGGTAACCTTCCACTGCCCAAGGAGATGCTACTGGATCACTCCTTGGTCAGCCAGAACAGTCCCAGCAGTGGCCCCATGCCTGAGGACTCTGGTGGCACCAGAGTCCCCAATCTCCTACTGCTACACTGGCTTGCTCTCACTGCCCAGGGAGCTGCTCACCCCTGACTACAGCATCCCTGAGACTTCCAATGCAGTCCTGAGCCTACAGCAATTCAACACCATCAGGATGGGGTCCCAAGAGCTGTGGTGGGGTGCAGGGACAGACTTGCCACCATCCCAGCCTGGCAGGCTAGAAAAGCAGGGGGAAAGTGGAAGAGCAAGTTTCCAAACCCACGCAGCAAGCACAGGGCTCTAGCAGTCAGCACCAGAGTGGGAAGGTGGGATTAAACCCATTGCAAGGATGAGACGGAGATGGGGGTGAGGTGGGTGGGAGGGAGGTGGTGGTGTAGTTGGCAGGGTGGTGTTTTATAACAATAGCTTTCATGACACCTTTGCTCTTGTTTTTCACGTAGCATGCTAAACTACGCATAGGCTATTAAGTTCAGGAAAAAGTGAAGCCACCAAAATAGTTACAAAAAAATAATTTACAAAATATTTTAACACAAATGGCAATCACTATAACTAAAAAGCAATCTGAACTACTTCTGTTAGAAAAATCCCACTTCCAAGCAGCAAAACCCAAGTTCAGTTTCATGCAGACCAGTATCAACAATCCAGTTTAATATTTTCATAAAGGGAAAAAAGCAAAACTGGCATATAAAAGCAACCTCACAGTAAGTAAAGCATTACCTTTATGCAGAATTGTACAATTCCATACTAAACAAGACAGTCTAACACTGAACTACGTTAAGTGCAGTGCTCCGTTTGACAACTACAGTAGCTGTTAATCGGCAAGTACATTCTTCCTGTCG